GGCCGGGTCTCGTCTGCGTGGGTGCGGACTGGGCCGGCCGCCACACGCCCAAGGGGGAGGCGCGGCCGCCAACTGGCGGGTCGCCGCCGCCGTGGGGCGCCGGGCGCGCGTGCGCCCGCGGCCCGGGGGGCCCCTCCAACCGCCCGGCGCTGCCGGGCCTGCTAGTGGGGGGTGTACAACACAAATCTAGCCAAGGATCGGGCTGACGCTCAGCGACTCGTAGCAACAAGGCTACTTGACCGCTTACACGACCCGCTTGGTCACTTCAGTCGTCTGCAGAGGATTCATCCCCGCGCGAGGTGACATTGCAATCCGCCAGCCGGCCACCGGGGGCTTCTCCCCGGGGGCCGTCGCCAGCCTGCTGAGGTGCATGGCCCGAAGGCCTATTCGTATCCAACTACGACGTGCGGGCCCTGACACTTCTAGCTGATCGTTACTACTCGCGCGGAGAGCCCCAGCATGGTCGCCTACGCATGCGCATGCTGCTTGAGCGCAGTGCCAACTTGTTGCCGCCGCAAAGCCTCCCGCGACCCACGCGCTACCACACCGTCTCGCGGTTCGATCTCAACCTCATCGGTCGGCACCCCAACCTAGATGAGATGGTCTTTCAGGAGCTGGAGTGGCGGCGCGAGCCGTGGCCGGTGGTCGAACGTCTGTTCCGGTGGGCGAAGACTTGCGCGCGCGAGCGTCGGAATCCTGAATTCTTCCGGACAATCGAGCAGTACTCGTGGCGAGTGCGGTATCCTGTTTGAAGGTGCTTCCATTGATAGATCTCGTCATCGTATTACAAAACCTTCCCGTACGGGACATCGGGATTGAGATAAACAAGCTGCAGGATGCATTCTGACGAGGCTCCTAGGGTTAATAACACTATTGCATACTTGATAGGAAGTGCTGCGTGTCAACTCGCGTTCTGAGATCTGTTGCGGTGTATGCAGCTTCGCGACCTAGCCTAGACTTCGTCTCACAGAAACAGTCAGCAAGATAGGGAGTTCTGTAAATATGCTAGCAGGTATTGTTAATATCTGTCCGTCATACCTAGTATATAGATAAATAGTAAACTATTATATTACACTCTTCATAGTAGGGGCATCCTCCAAAGATCTAAACGCTTTTTAGTGAAATAGATTGGTAATTCCTGGTTTGTGTAAATTAAACGATATTTCATGGCTCTACATACACGTGAGTTCCATACACACCATATTTCACTGTCTTTTCTGACGTGACCTATGCTCTCGTCCAGTCTAATGGTCTAAAGACCAAGAGATAGTTCAATTAGCTTTGCTCTGGTGAATAAATGGTTTCGTGATCCGCCGTCACAAAAGAATACTTGCGCACCCAAAGAGGTTTCTTTATGTGTGAAGTATTCCAGTACACTATAAATGCAAGATGGTTTTAAAAAACAGTCGGTTTCAAAAATAGCTCAATCCCACAACCAAATTATCACATGCTCATGGGTTGGTATGTAGCTAAACATGTCCCAGAATTCACATGCTTCATCCATCTCCCAAATCCGATCAACTAGCTAGTGACATTCAATCTCCCGACAGGGTACAAGACAAAGGCATGTGCGACATTCATGATTGCCCCACATATCGTTAGGTTGTTGCTGCAAAACGAACCGTCTGGTTGCGGGTGCTAATAAGCTTTTTCGGAAGATAAAGTTCCACGTTCAACCGTGGCACAACAGCCGTTAGGACGATCACGTCCACCATTGGCATGATCCGTACAAAGCCCGAAATCAGAAGCGCGGACTGATCTTGTCAGAGATTAACTCTCTATATTCGATCAAGAGAATGAGTGTTGAGGAGGAGTTTTTGCCGTGGCCTAAATGTGAGCCTGGCCCGCGCATTCTACATACCTCGAACATCCTTCGCCTTCGTGGATCGAATCGAAACCTTGGTTTTTCCGGTTGTCGCAGCTGACGGTGTTTGATGAAAACAGCTCAAAGCAGTGGAAGTAAAATCATTTCCAGAGGGTAATCCCCTGTATCCTCCGTGGCGATATATGACGCTTTCTACGATAGCCTACAAGAAGCCCTAATGTTTGATACTATCGGTGCGAGCTGCCTAGATCAGATTAGTTAAATATGACAATCCTAGATTAAACCCATCACAGTAGTTGTATATATCAGAAGTCTACTAAGATCTATACATTGAGAAAAAGAGGAAGCTTGACATGTTCATTACTCTATGTAAGGGCCTCAGGGAGTGCTCATTGTTTTATTCGTTGCGAAGACAAGAACACTAAATTAAGGAAAGAAAAAAGAAAACAAGCCAACCGTCTCTGTTGCAGAAAAGTTTACAGAACAAACATTGCAGCCACGTCAAACAGATTAAACAGAATTCTTTCAGTTTACCCATTGGTGTCCAATTCCTCGGTCTCCTATTGCAGCAAGGTCTAAAGATTTGACAAGACGTTGGGATGATCAAGCCCTAGAACTTGTTTCTGCTTTGCTAATGATACTTTGAGTAGATCAAGAGCAGCAGTATGCTGACCTGAAGATCTCCAGCTAAAAGCAGGATTGGCCATACTGGTCAACATATCAGAATGGTCCTCGCCAAGCTTCATCTTGCGAGTCCCCATCACCTGCATCTAAAGCTGCTTGGCCTTCTTCTACCAGCTCTGATTTCTGTATATTAATGCTAGATTGGCTATACTAGATTGGCTATACTAGTCAGCATAGAAGAGTGGTTTTTGCTAAGCTTTATCTTACTCGTCTTTATTACCTGCACCTGGAGCTGCTCGGCCTTCTTTCAGTGCCCTTCCCGGCTGTATGCATCTGCTAACATCGGAGAGCTCGCAAGAGTATCTTCATCCTCTATTCCTAATATTCTTTTTCTCTGCTTCCTTGACTTTGATGCCATTTCCCTCTCAACCACAATGTTACCACTTCCAGATGCATACCATGCACCTCTGTTTAGCAGCTTAGCCCATTTTATCTACAATTCGTCTCTGAGTCTGGCTGTTGTGACATTGCCGAACGAACATGTGGAAAAAGCAGCCGACATCTTCTCCAATTCTGATACTCATCAGTCGGAAATTCCCGGCACAGAATACTGATGAATTGTCTGTTCCATTGCTCCAGTTGTTTCTGTGATTTTACCGGGAGCGAGCAGCCAGTTACACAAGCCGATGCATTGTCAAGATACTATTATCCTTACTAGCAGATATGAATGAATACTGTCTTAGTATTGCAATGGCCCACTGAAAGCTGTCATCTGCATTGGATTCAGAAATACCATCTGTATTCTCATTACTCGAGTTAGTTGACAGGCTCCTTGGCCTGTCATTGGTCAACCCATTGGTGCCTCAGGCACCCATGGCCTTATCCATGTACATAGCGCAGAGCGAAGGCCCGGAGAGCCTTTCTCTTCTCTTTATTCCCCATGAATGGAATTCTTGCCTGGTTGATTCATCTCCTTTTCGTAGCCTCACGAATAATTCAGCTAGTTGCAGGCCAACTGATACACGAGGCTCCTTATCGGCTACGCAGCGCATGTTATAAGAACGGGAGCTTCGGCTGACTACTGAGAAAGAAACTACCGGACAGCTCGCCGCGTGGAACCTGATCTATATTTTGATGCGCGGTTCCGGGCTCTGTGAGTAAGGACCGCATTGCTGGCAGGATTCTTACAGCAAGAGACATTATAAGCTTTATGGAGACCAGCTGAAAAGCTTGGTTAAATATATGCAAAGTGGTGGTATTTGGCAACTACATGAGGATGTGCCCGAATGTTACGCAAGCAAATATACAGAGCTGAGAGACAACGCCTTGACCGATTAAAGATATGTAACTGCTCTTTAACTGATTCAGCATGTCCTTTTGATAATATTATACATGTTCTTCCAGCACAGACACCGCTAATGTCTTCTTTGTTTCCACCAGGGTCTGTTGAGCGTGGTATGTCTCCGATAACCCAGCTTTCTAATCTGCAAATATTTGGGCTTGATGTTGCTGTACGGGATTATAGTACCTGGCAGCAGTTACGATTGGACGGGAAGGACTAAAAGCGGAGGTAAAAAAGACGTGTAATATTGCTTTGGATGATGGCCTTAATCTTAAGCAGATTAACAAAGATAAAGATCCAGAATACTTCAGAGATCGTAATGTCAAGTGGGGTATTATTTGGCGATTTGTCAAAGACTTCCGACTGTAGACTGACAAATATAAAATAGTAGTAGTTGGATGATAGTCTTATGCTTTATGTTATTTGTCTTTTTGCTCGACATCTTATTTTGTGCTTCTATTATGATCTTAATATCTACTGTTTCTTTTTTCAATATTGGATTATTATCTATTTTTATTCTCTTTAATCATAAGACCAGCCCCTTAAAAATGATCCTCTGCGCTTTTCGTTTTCGAGCCAAGTATATTAATATACTACTCCAGAAAAATATTAAAACCTTGACCTGGGTTCTTTTTATATGATGTCCACTGACGCGTAATGAATTGCTTCAGCTCCGCAAAGAACTCTTCGATAAGGTTGAGATCTGGTGAATATAGCGGAAGATATATCAGAATAACACCTCAATCGGCATATAGCCGCTAAAGCCTTTCAGTGCGATGGAACGACACATTCTCTATAATAAGAACAGATTTTGGTTCTGCTATTTGTTATAATGCTGGAGGAGCTGCTCGATAAAGTCCTCGAACACATTGGTATCAGTAGACCCTTTGAACACACGTCGGAGAATGATATTATCTTGGGCATATGCAGAGAGTATTGGAAGTTGATTACGATAGAATTCGGCAAGTTGGACTGTGATTACGTCTAAAAGCGATCAGTCTGTTCGCCGAAATCCAGCTTTCTTATCACAGTCTAATTTATCTACAAATGTCAACGGATTTGACTGGAATGCTGTAAGATTATAGAGATAGAAGTCTCGCAAGTCGGTATTCTGTTCTTTGGCAATCTGTCGTGCTGTTTTTCTAGATCACCCGACCGAAGCAAGTGCTCTGCTGATGCTCTGAGTTGTTATATATTTTCCAAATTTGTTCCAGATAGATACTGCTATTTCATCTTGATAGAGATTTGGCTTCTCCTCAGATGTTCGCAAAGAGGTTCGAGCATAAGCGGGATAATACTGCGTGGGCGGCCTACACCATTGCACGGTGCTTGGATGTTGCTGAATGTCTGCAGATTGAAGCGAATATACACGATTGACTGTTTGCTGCAGTCAGCGATGTAAGCCATCTGAGATGTTATCAGAAATCATGTGTTGGATTAGTTCCAGCTGAGCGGGCTTCAAATCTAGAGCCATCGTGCATTAAACAACCTCCGTCAACTGTCCTGCAGTAGGAAATGTCCATTAAGCAAACGCCCTACGTGGCCTGGCGATAGGCATTATGAAATTCGGATCAATTAGGTTCCGTTTCTGCCAATGGATTCTTATATTTGCACGGGAAATGCCCCACCCCTTGGACATAGCTACGTCGGATATCTCCTCTCGACATTGATCACAGCATCTAACACTGTGTTCCTGTTTCTTTTGGCTTTTGATTAATTCTTAAGCCCTATTGATCTAATCTTTGAGTATCACACGGCTCAAGATACTTTTACATTATATAGAAAGAGTTCTGGGACCTGCAACGACCCGCTGTAATTATCATAATTGTGGTTACGCACGCAATGTTTGCTTTTTGTGGTGCGGGGTAGCTGAGTGTTGTAGCTAGGAAACTTGTATATAAGGCCTTAATTCTAGTTTCAACTGGTGTGTCCGGTTACACACTGTTCTAAAACCTTCGCTAACACGAGATGAACAACTCAACCGCATTTTTTACTGCCGATAATACTGGACTCCAGGTCGGTCAAAATCCTGGGCAGATTAACAGTCAGTTTTACTACAATTATTACAACCAATCTGATGATTCAAAAGTGAGTGAGATAATCATTGCCACTACTTACTTAGTCGAACCATCCATCTTGGAATACGGAATGATTTACACTTTAACTCTTTCAAAGACAATTAATCCCGAGCTTGATAAGCGGCGGATCGAAGAGGAGAAGGGTGGCCTTCTTCGAAACTCTTACCGCTGGGTGCTCGACCATGATAATTTTAAAAGATGGAGATACACTGCAGGCAATCAGTTTCTCTGGATCAAAGGTGATGCTGGTAAAGGCAAGACAATGCTAATCTGTGGTATTATCAATGAGCTTTCAGAGAAAGCTACGCAAGACAAAATCAACATTGCCTACTTCTTCTGCCAAGCCACCAACAATCGTATCAACAGTGCTACAGCGATTTTACAAGGACTTATTACTATGCTTAGGAAGCAACAGCCTCTGCTCCAGACCCATATCCCTGCGAAGTTTCTTGACAACGAGAATAGGTGGTTCGAAGTACACGATGTCTTTCAGAAGATACTCCAAGATCCGGCTATTAAGAAGACTTGCCTAATAATCGATGCACTGGACGAGTGTATTATCGATCAAAATAGATTTCTTAAATTTCTTGAAGAGGAATCGTCAGGTCTTCAACATGTGAAATGGATTGTCTCAAGTCGAAACTGGCCGAGCATCGAGAAATATCTCGACAATATAACAGGAATCAGACTTCACCTTGAGCTGAATGAGGATGATTTAGCTGCTGCTGTTGACTACTTCATCAAGGATAAAGTAGAGGCGTTATCAAGAAAGCATGAATACAGCAAAGCAACAAGAAAAGCTATTGAGGATCATCTGGTACTCAATGCAAAATAAACATTTCTCTGGGTAGCTTTGGTTTGCGAGCAACTGAAAGATGTTCCCCGTGAGTATATCCAGGCGGAACTTGCAACATTTCCTCCGGGGCTTGACATGCTATATAAGCGAATGTTGGACAACATCAGTGATCTAAAATTTGATGCTAAGCACTGTACGTCTCTGCTTGGGATTGCAGCCACTGTTTACCGTCCTATCACATTGGTTGAGTTATCATGTTTTCTCGAACTACCGAACATTTCGACAAGCGACATAGAGTCTGATAAGTGCCTCATCAAGTATCTTGAAAGGATTGCAAGAAACTGTGGTTCTTTCCTTACTCTTCGAGGACACACAATCACAATGATTCATCAATCTGCGCAGGACTTTCTTTTGAAAGAGGCGTCTCAAGAAATTGCTCCGAAAGGTGTGCGAGAGATACACTACTTTATCTTCTCAAAGTCTTTACAAACACTTCACAAAACATTACGGCGCGATATTTACGAGCTCGATGACCTTGCAATTACAACTGATCAGATCACGCAGCCAGATACAAATCCACTACAACCAATACGTTACGCATGTATTTATTGGGTTGATCATCTTAAAGACTATACTCGAGATGAGACACCAAGCAAAGAAACCGGTGAACAGCTCCGAGGCACAAGTTTAAAGGGCACATTCTTTCATCAGAACCCTTTTCATTTGCTTCCTAATTTCTGTCTGTTGAAAAGCTTCTTCGAAAAAGCAATACTGATACTCATTTTTGGAAAAGAATCACTTCGAAAGAAAATTGCAGGCGGACAATTGATGACAGAACCGCAAGGCGTGACTTTACCTATGACCTTATACCGAACTTTCATTCAACAGCTAGGAGCTTCTAGCCTACTAAGAGGCCTACTCAAGATAGCCATTTCAGTACGAAGCCTCAGAAGCCGACTCTTTCGAGAAGAACAGAAACGCAAACAAAGTCAAAGCTTGGTGCACACTACTTTGCTTGAAGATTTCTTCTGCCAGGACTTTCTTCACTGGCTGGAAGCTCTTACACTACTAGGTAATCTAGCTGAAGGAGCGACAGCGATGCTGAAGCTTGAAAGATTGATAGAGGTATGTGTTATTAATTATCTTGTAATCAGCTATTCTAACTAAAATATAGATAAACGAAGAATCTGAAGTACTACATAAGAGGATTCGAGATGCATACCGCTTCATCATATATCATAAGACGATGATAGAGGATTATCCACTTCAAGTATACACCTCAGCGATATTCTTTAGTCCTCGGAGCAGTATTACAAGGACTCAATTTGAGTCTGAGGAACTAAGATGGATGAATGCCAAGTCAATGATAGGCGAGAGCTGGAGTGCCTGCCTGCAGACGCTCGAGGGCCACGGTGGCTGGGTCCAGTCAGTGGTCTTTTCGCATGACTCCAAGCTGCTGGCGTCTGCTTCCCACGACAACACCGTCAAGCTCTGGAACGCCGCCAGCGGCGCCTGCCTGCAGACGTTTGAGGGTCACGGTGGCTCGGTTCAGTCAGTAGTCTTCTCGCATGACTCCAAGCTGCTGGCGTCTGCTTCCCGCGATAATACTGTCAAGCTGTGGGACGCCACCAGCAGCGCCTGCCTGCAGACGCTCGAGGGCCACAGTGGCTGGGTTCAGTCAGTAGTCTTCTCGCATAATTCTCAGCTGCTAGCGTCTGCTTCTGACGATAAGACTGTCAGGCTGTGGAATGCTGCCAGCGGGGTCTGCCTGCAGACGCTCGAGGGCCATAGTAGCTGGGTCCAGTCGGTGGTCTTTTCGCATGAATCTAAGCTGCTGGCATCTGCTTCCCGCGACGAAACTGTTAAGCTGTGGAACGCCGTCAGCGGCGTCTGTCTGCAGACGCTCAAGGGCCACAGTGGCTTAGTCCAGTCAGTGATCTTCTCGCATGACTCTAAGCTGCTGACATCTGCTTCTTACGATAAGACCGTCAAGCTGTGGGACACCGCCAGCGGCGCCTGCCTGCAGACGCTCGAGGGCCACAGTAGCTTAGTCCAGTCAGTGGTCTTTTCGCATGACTCTAAGCTGCTGGCGTCTGCTTCCCACGACAAGACTGTCAAGCTGTGAGACGCCGCCAGCGGTACCTGCCTGCAAACGCTCGAGGGCCACAGTGGCTGGGTCCAGTCAGTGGTCTTCTCGCATAACTCCAAGCTGCTGGCGTCTGCTTCCCGCGACAACACCGTCAAGCTGTGGGACGCTACCAGCAGCGCCTGCCTGCAGACGCTCGTAGGGCCACAGTGGCTCGGTCCAGTCAGTGGTCTTCGTCGCATGACTTCAAGCTGCTGGCGTCTGCTTCCCGCGACAACACCGTTAAGCTGTGGGACGCTGCCAGCGGCGCCTGCCTGCAGACGCTCAAGGGCCACAGTGGCTGGGTCCAGTCAGTGGTCTTCTCGCATGACTCTAAGCTGCTGGCGTCTATTTCCCAGGATAAAACCGTTAAGATATGGGACGCCGCCAGCAGCACCTGCCTGCAGACGCTTAAGGGCCATGTCGGCTGGATTCAGTTAGTGGTCTTTTCGCATAATTCTCAGCTGCTAGCGTCTGCTTCCCACGATAACACCGTTAAGCTGTGGAAGACCGCCAGTGGTGCGTGCCTGCAGACGCTGGACAGCCACAGTGACTGGATTCAGTCAGTGGTCTTTTCATATGACTCTAAGCTGCTGGCGTCTGCTTCCCGCGATAACACTGTCAAGCTGTGGGACGCCGCCAGCGGCGTCTGCCTGCAGACACTTGAGGGTCACAGTAGCTGGGTTCAGTCAGTGGTCTTCTCACATAACTCTAAGCTGCTGGCGTCTGCTTCACATGACAAGACTATTAAGCTATGGG